TCTAGATAGAAATGAGTTTAGATATTTAGTGACTCTAGATATGTACTGATAGTTATGACAAATACAATCATTCCATTCAATTGAGTTAAGAATTTGCTGAAGTTTCCTTTGGTTGAAATTCAGATGCCATCATTTCAGGGCATCAATCTATGTTAGAAATTTAATAAAAATGTGGAATGGACGTATTCCACCCAGTATATCACGGCGTTAGTTTTATTTTGTATTGCTTCCAGAGGAGTAGTTATTAGTTTTATTTTGTGTTGTTTCGATAGAAGTTATTTTTGGGTAACTGGTATATGTTGCTACGTTACCACATTTTTAGTAATAGTTTTGTTAGGAATTTGAGTTAGACAAAAAATTCATAAACTGGTATTTTAGCAGGCTAGTAATGGAAATATGTGTATCCCAGATAATTATGTGTTTTCAAGATGGATAGATAGGGTGACAGGCTGCACTGTTCTAACTTTGGTTTTGTGTAATCTGAAGCTTTTTTCTAGATTAAAAAGTAAATTGGTAGTTTGACTGTAAGCTGTTTGGTCCATTTTACCATAATATGCAATCAAGTGAAAGAGGAAGTGGCAAACAAAAATAGAACTTTGGCAGCTTAAGATCTCGATATTATACTTCTCAAACTGTCTCAGTGAGTGCAAGTAAGTTATGCTTGTGCATGAAGGGGAAAAAGAGATGCTTGCGTGCTGATGTGCTGTATCTTGCTCTATTTCTTTTTCTCAAAATTGAGTTGTTGATGTGCTGTATCTTGCTCTGTTCTTTTTCTCAAAATTGAGTTCCCTTTGTGATCTACCACCAACTTTTTATCTATGTTTCAGTATTAGGGAACCACTTATTTTCTTCTATTTTGGTTTGGGGAAGGGAAGAGAAAAATGTGAAAGGCAGTTCCAGGCCCCCATTGTGCTTTAAATTTTAATCTCTCATGATAGATTATCAAAATTCAAATAGTTAAAAAGAACTTGACCTCAATGCTTACTTTAATTAGAACTAAAGTTATCCCGAATACATAATGTTGACCTGTTTCTTTGATATATCTACCTAACTTAAGCATCAGCTCAGACTCTTGAATATTGACCTTTCTGTTGTGGCAATTTATCTTTTTTGCTTCACTCTTTCGCATAGTGACCTGCAGTGTGTTTGAATGTTAAACTTTAATTTTTTTACTGCCTGTTTTCATTCTAGTTGGAAATTAGAAGGTTTTGAGGGTTTTAATTTGTTTTTATATTAACTTGGGGTTTTTTCTTTAATCATAGATTGCACGCATGCTTACTATTAAAAGAGAAAGAGAGATTGAAGAGGGAATCAACAAGAGATTGTCGAGGAAGTTTGATCGGCAATGGAAGAAAAGCATTGTTGTAAGACCACCTCCATCCTTGAAGAAGTTACAAGAGGAAGAGGCAGCAGCAGAAGCTGAGAAATCCACATAATTGAGATAGGTAATTTTCCAGTGATTATGATGTATTTGTGTGGTTTAGCAGGAATTTTCTAGAACAATTTTCTTATAATCTGTTTCAGACCAATTTCATCCCTTGGAACCACTCACGAAAGTATTTAATTGCATCGACATGGCTTTTTAATATTATTCTGGGTTAGGTATCACTTGTGCTTAGTACTCGAGATAGAAGCATATTCGGTACGGCTAATTTTGAAAAACCTTATATACTTATTGCCGAATATTAGTACGAATATAATGTTGTCATGCCTTATAAAAATTAGCATACTCGAGTTACAGAGAACACTGAATTTCTTCATGTTGCCAATCTTTGTTTCTTGTTGGCGAACAATTATGTTGCAGCATGGTATCAAATACTTCCTGTTTTCCGGTGCTCATTTTTCTCCTGAAAGGAGGATGGTCCTGCAGCTGTGGAGATGCTCAATGAAGATTCATTCCCAGTTTTTTTCCTCTTTACTTACCTTTGTTGTCGCAACTGTTCAATTTTCGTGTTTTAATTTTGTATAAATTTTGCTGGTTCATTTGCTGCTATGGTATTTGTTTCCCAGAGCTTCTTGGATGCTAACATGGATAAGGCAATGGCAGATGGTGGTGCTATAGGGCAGATAAAAGTACTTGAGCTTATGATGGTGGGTGCTAGATTTAGGTAGATGATGTGCAAGCGATTCTTTGCTCCTTTCTTAAGTGTAATGCATTTGTTATAACCCGATACTATCCACTCCTTAATTTGTTGTATATGAAATGTTCTCTCTCTCTCTCTCTCTCTCTCTCTCTCTCTCTCAACAGGATCATTTGAAGACTCTTGCATTATTTACTCTATTTTTGTTGAACTCTCAGTGGATAATGGACTCACTTGTTCATCCCAGACCCTTCTTCTCATGTACTTGTGATTTGGGCGATGTCAGTTTCATCCTTAATCATGAGTTTTATCTATTTGTTAGAGAATATTATTTTCATTCACTAGATAATTCCAAGAAAATATTACGATAAGTTCGAGTTCATATTTATATGTTGATGTTCAATTTATTATCATTTTTATTATTTTTAAATAATTATTTTTAAAATAATCAGTTGTATCCAGATGTGTTATCTTTTTTTTTTTTTTTAAAAAAATAAATAAATAAATTTAACATTTTTTATTTTGAAAAAGAAGAGTGTGATAATGAACTTATCAAGGAGTAACGGTGTTGGGTTATAACAAATGTACTATACTTAAGAAAAGAGCAAAGAATAGCTTACACATCATCTACCTAAATTTAGCATCCACCATCTGCCATGGCCTCTCTCCCGGATGTATCAAACCAATCGCACTCCTTCATATACGCCAGGAATCCATTGATGAGAAGGAGGTTGAACCCAATGATTCCCACAACAATGAATATAAGTTGCAATTGAAATTTTTGAAAAATTATATAAAACTATTTATTATTTTTTAAAACTCAATCTCTACTTCGAATGAATTATATAGTTAAGAGAAATCATGGAGTAGAATAGAAGAATTTGCTCTATCCATAAATAAATATTTCGTAATAATCTCCTTATATCATACATCTTTTTTTATATGTGCAGATAATAAATAGGAACATAAAATAAAATAATTTAATAGAAAAGTGAATAATTCTAACTTAACTCAAAAATGTTAATAATTAAAAAGGAAACAAAATTTTCTAATTTGATTTCAGAAAGAATAAATTTTTTTCCTTTATGAGTAGAGTAAAAAATAAATTTAAAATAATATTTTGAAAATAAAAATATGAATAAAGTTTTACAAAAAAAAAAATAAAAGATTAAAATGTGATGATTCACTGTTGTGGTCATATTCATAAATAACTTCAAATGGCGGGAGATTTCATAATTTTACTATCATCTTGGTCATTAGTCACGATTCGAATTTGGCATCTCTCAGTTTCGGAGCAATTTACTACGGTTCGAGAGTTGAGGCGATTGATATTGAATCTTCGCTCTATTGCGGAAACCGTATTACCACCATGGAAGGAGCAGCCTCGAACCTAAACGAACCACCTGCTAGAACCCTAGACCCGGCCTTGCAGAAGAAACATTTGCTAATGCTCGAACGCCTCTCGGTTCGCCATCAAACTCGTAAATCCAATTCATCCAACTCCTCTTCCCTCGACTCCACCTCTTCTTTCCTGGATCAGTTCGCCGAAAGCAAAAGATCTATCGAGTCCCAACTCGCGGAGTCCCGCATCAACTCTACCGGCGACTCGACTCAGCCCAAATCTCATCTCGCCTCTATCTCCTCCTCGATCTCCGACCTCGAGAAGCTCCTAGCCGAGAACTCCTACTTTCTCCCCTCCTACGAGGTGCGTTCTTCTCTCAAATCCATCTCTGACCTCAGACAAAATCTCGAGAATGTGACCAACGAGTTACTCCCAAAGAAGAAATTCTCTTTCAAGAGCAAATCATTCCCCAAAAAATCCGATCCAAAAGAACCTGAAATAAAAAAAGCCAATGAGATTTTACCATCGAATTTCACGGTTCGCGATTCGCCAGGATTTAGGAACAAAAAGAACGAAATTCTGATCCAGAATTTCAAGCGCCTGGAGATCGGAGAGTTCACTTTATCAGATCTAGATTCGTGTGAAGTGAGACTGGTTGGTACTGTTAACGCCTTGTTTGTTCACCGATTGAAGAACTGTAAGGTATACGCTGGTCCGGTGACTGGCTCGATTTTGATAGAGGACGTAGAAGCTTGTAGCTTTGCATTGGCGTCGCATCAGATTAGGATACATTATGCCAAGAGAAGCGACTTTTACTTAAGGGTGAGGAGCAGGCCCATAATTGAGGACAGTAATGGCGTGAGATTTGCACCTTACTGTTTGGAGTATGAAGGGATCGAGGAGGACCTGAAGGCGGCTGGTTTGGATGAGGAGACGGGAAATTGGGCCAAAGTAGATGATTTCCGGTGGTTGAGAGCCGTGCAATCGCCAAATTGGTGCATTATACCTGAGGAGGAGAGGGCTGGGAATGTTGTCGTTGTGAATACGGATTTTGATAACTTAGATTCTTAGTTTGTTAGCCGATGCATATCAGTTCTGCAGAGCAGTTTAGGCGATTCTGGAATCAGGTACTATTGTTATTTGTCCTTTGAGCTGAAATGGAATTGAACGGAATCATCTCTTTAGACTGGACTAGAGTTGGTTTGCTTGTAAGTTTTTGGCATTTTGAATAGGAATAATTGCCAATTGATCATCCTTTCGACCTGTGATATTTGTGCAATACGTGCTGTTATTTGATGGATCAAATGAATTCTGTGGACTGAAGGCTTTCGTATCCCTGGAAAAGCTGAGTTCCATTTTATTGATTACGTTCCACATGTTTGTTTCCAGCAGAAAATGCTGCACAATTTTTTCAGAAGAACTTACTGAAAATTTATTGTTCTTTTTGTAGTAATATATTTTTTAATTTCAAGTACTTCCTGGATTTTTCTTCTTGTTTCTTAATCTTAGTTTTACCACCTTGAATTATAAGCATTTCGAAGTAGGAAAACTTGTTACATCTATTCCTCTCTTTGAATATGTCCAGAAGGTTAGTAGAATGTTTCTTTGGATGAAAGAGGCTCCTCAAGCATGCCACAAGAGAGGTTTTTGGACGTTCTTTTGGCTGTGAATTTCTGAAAGGGCCAATGTGAGGACTGCAATCTATTTCCAATAATATGTGATCATATATGGATATCATATTGATGACCTCTTGAGGAAGCCTGACATTTATTTCCCTCAATATTCATGTGATTTTTATTAGGGAACCCGTTATTTACTTCAAAACAAGTTGAAGAGGAGGGTGCAATTAACTGTATACTGTTCTTTGTCAGCTGAAAAAATGCATGGTAATATCTATTTATTCATATAGGAATGTATAAAATATTTGTCAATGTATATATCAGTGGACCCGGTTCTATGAAAACATCTGCATCTGGTGGGTGTTATATGCGTTTTACTTGCACATCAGGCAGTTTCTATGTCTGGTGACTTTTATCCTTGAAACATGAAACTCAAGTACGGATTATTAAGTGAGACATTGATGTGCTGGGGCGGAAACAGATCATGACAGCTCTTGGGTTGAACAGAATGGAAACTGTTGATATAAGATTTGAATTGTAATATTGTTTTGGTCATTTACCTGCTAAGATGAAATTACTTATAATGTAGGCGGTGACATGGATTTCATTCTGCTGGTCAGATTATTGGTCCAGGCACCTTGTGATTGAAGCACCCAGTCTCACCATCTTAGCTCTAATTTGGAAAGTCTCCCCACAATTTGTTTGGTGCTGGGACTTCATGAGCAGTAATGAAGAATTCTGTTTTTCTTTCTGTGAGTTGCTCTGATTGCAGAGCAAATCCTTTTTGTAATATCAGCTTTTCCTTGAGAAAAAAGAGTAACTAGAGTGTCCATTACAACATGGTGATTTCAGGTTCTGAAGCATTCATCTAAACTTTCCTCCAGTCTTTCATGATGGAATATTTACAAACTTGTTTTGTTCTACAGTATTCCCAGCAGCTGTTGATTGGTATGTTTAGTTCCAGTAACAGGTTAAATGAATATGTGTTATCTCGGAACCTTAATTTAATGTGATTGGCTCTTTGATGATATCTATCAATTGAAAATTTACAGGCTTTATTGTGGAACGCTTATGTTCAGTCACAGAGCAACTGGGTTCACCTAGCTTTATTTGGCACCCTTTACTCTGTACTTGTTTCTATACTTAGGCTAAAAGGATATATTCTAGCAAGCGGATTTTGTCCTCGGAATCGAAGCCAGTGCCACTTTTTAGATCTTACTACTTCAGCTTGTAGAGATTTTTGTTGCTTCTTGCACCTCATATAGCTGACTTTCTATAGCAACAACTTAACTGTGAAAACGTTCTGTAATGTCATAGTCATATAAAAACTTACTTGTTTACCATGGAAAATTGTAAATTAATATGTTAGTTTAGTGCCTGGAATTTTTGATTTCAACAAACAGCCCTAGGCTTCTATGCGAGGACTAAAATATCATTCAACCATTGTGCTTTCCTGGGTGGAGAAGTTGGTATATAGACGGATTTGAAGTATCAGCAGCGATGGTGATTAAATAAACATTGCTCAAATTCTGTGAATTGGAAGATATCATCTATACCAAGATCTCTGAAGGCAATTATGTTACTTTGTGAAGAACCTCTTGATACCATGGGTAAACAATCCTCAAAATTCTGGGAATTGACAGATATCATCTAGGAAGATCTCTGGAAGGCGATTTGTTACTTATGAATGCCTTCTCTTGATGCTGTTTGGTCTCTTTTATGTTCTTGTGAATAGGAGGTTGTCTGTGTCCACCAAGCAGACTGCCTATCACGCTCTAGCCCTTTTTTGTGGGAGAATTCTTCTCAAGTATCATAAGGAAACTCGCCAAGTATCTCTTCTTGTTGACTTTGGAAACAAATAAGGTGCCAGCTGACCTGTTGATTATGACTAAATGTAGAAGCTTACTGAGTGTGTGATGATTGATGATGATCCTTTGACTTATGGCTAACCTTTAATGTCAAATGTGAAATTGACATTTCCCCTATTGTCCTCCAAATTGACATATGAAAATGCGTTGCTATGTTATTTAATAACTTAGACTAATTAGTTTAATGAGAGAGAAACCAAGTATTTGTTTCCATTAATATTTTAAAAGAATGCCTGGATTTCATGAGAAGAAGTTGATTTTTCTATCTACATTGTCAAAGTCGGTGTTGGTGTTATAGCTGTTGTCTACTTACAGAAGGTCTTCATAAATCACAAATGTTATATTGGAAGTGATACTGTGCATGCCTTACCTTTCCAGCTTAATTAGTATTTGTTTATTCGAATTTTAATTATCATATGCACTAATTATTGTCTTTCTTATATGTCTGTTCATGGAGAGATCAATGTTGGGGATATATCGCCGAAGTGGGTCCTTGTGACTTCTAGTACCTTTGACCAAAAATGGGCTGCGGATGTCCAAGCTGAGAGCTCAAGGCAATGTACATTTGAGTCCTCTTGGCGGCTTCAACTTGTTCATTACTGAGGCAGATATCTTCTTGAAGCTCTTTATACCGACTCCCACCATGTGGTATTCAACTTTGCACCCAACAATTTTTTATTCTTTTTAAGGAAATTATTTTGGTGTTTCATAGATTCTCTTGATAATGATAGTATTTTATAATTGTGATCAGATATAGTTGGTCTCATATTTCAAACCTTCACATTTATCTGGTTTCCTTTGCATGCAGCAGTATTTTGAACCTTTGATTTGATCTTGTTTGCGGTTTAGATTTGATCAAGTTGGGTATTTATTATTTCTCCTTTTTGATCTTTGATCTCCTATTTCTTGAAGGTGAAATAATTATATTTGTAGGTTTTTTCTCATTTTTCTCATCTCTTATCAAGTCGAGTTATGACGTTTAGTTTAAGTTACCAGGTAACTAAAAAGGCACGATATTTATGGAACCAAACCAAATTCCACTAAACCCCATAGGTGTCTTGTAGATCAATATCAAGGCTAATATATATATATATATTAATATTTTCTGCACTAAAAATCTTTATATCTTTTTTGGTGATTGCTTCTTTCACATTCTATTTCATTAATTCCATTTCTCATTTAACCTTGTGAGTTCCCAGTTGTAATCTGAATAATAAGTAAAGAAAATACATACTTGTTTTTGAGTGACCAGCATTGCCTCTTGTATTCCTTGAGATGGAAATTGAACATCTATTTTGTAGTTAGAAATTGAATTTCCAATAAGGAATTTAAGTTGGGGGGGTTAAAATTGTTTATTTGTTGTTTATAAATAATTTTAATTTTTACATTTGGTATTATAAAATTACAAATTGATTTAAGAAGGTAGGAAATGAGTTTGGTATTTTTATCCAATGAGTTACTTAATTAATTTCTTGATATTTTTTTTTTAAAATATAATAATATAAACGGTAAAATATATTTATAATAAATATATGTATTTTTCTGTTGTTGTTGTTGTTATTTTCGTCAAATACAGGTACTGAATTTTTAGCGTTAATGTTGTATCAAAACATTGAAAATTTAAATAACTTAAAAAGATTTTATTATATGAAATAAATGCATGATACTCTTTTTTTGTTTTTTTTTTTAACAGGAAACCACAGTATTTTCTTCTTTGGGCCTAACACGCTTTGAAGATTTGTCCTAAACTTAGCCAGTTGTTTTCTTCCCTCACTCGATCAGAAATTTTGCTTTTGATGACTAAATAAAGAACTGCAACCGCCTGCTGGTTTTCTTTCTTTCTTTCTTTTTCTTTTCTTTTTTCCTTTAATTATTCACATAATATAGTATTTTTAAGATTCCCATTTGTCAACCATCATTTCAACTAAACCAATAAATGAGGATGTATATTTACACGCACGCACGCACGCACACACACACACACACACACACTTATAAACATGTGTGTTTCTATTATACTGAGATTCCAAAGGGTTAACTGTTAACAGAATTGAGCACCTAGAGATTTTACTAGAAGATGACAAACGTAAACATAAATATATTATACTGACTATTAGTTGTATGTTGATTCAAACTGCTAATGTTAGGCATAATGGTTTGTACCTATACCGTCTCAAAAGAAATCATAATAGTAGTGCCAACCATCATGGTTCTTGTTTCACTCACCCTTATGAATTTGAATTGGATTAGTGCATTCATTTTTTTTTTTTTTTTTTTTTTTGGTTTAAAAGATTTTAGAGACTATTTTGTTATTAGTATGCATATATTATTTAATTATTAAAATGTATAAATTTATGTTAAAATAATTTAATCTTTCCCACTAATCTTAATTACTATGTTAATATAATTAAAACACTACATTAACTATGACCCTGGACATGTGCAACTTTCTAAAGACCAATACGGTGAAAGCTGGCTAGGAACCTTACGGCGAATGATTCTTTTCACACGTAAGTATCATTGAAATGGTCAAATGTGATGAAATAAGCATACATTTTTTTATACCCCTCGTGTCAATAATTTTTGCTTTCCAGTCTGTGTTTTAAGCCAAAAGGTTTGCAGTCAGAAAGTGGGTGTCAGACGATTGATGCATCCTCACATGCAATTCACGTGAAATTAAAAATATTTATCATCAATGTTGTGTTGTTCAATTTTCATTTCATTTTTTTCTTAATTTTCAATTTCAATTCTCATATTACTTCTTAGTATAATTATATATATATATATATATTTTTATATTAATCTAACTATTATCACTTATTAAGAACGTTAAACATGTTATTTTATAAGTATATTATAAATTAAGAGTGATAAATTCATAACATTTAATTTAATAAATACGAGAATTTAACTCATAAGGATCTTTTTAGAATTGTAATAAGTAAGTTAGACTTAATTTTAATAAAATTATTACATTTTTGAACGAAATAAATATTTTAAGAGGGTTAGAATCGAATCATATTTTTTATTTATTAAAAATAAAAACTCTTTGAATTCTTTGATGGTAAGAGTTCACTCTCTCTTTGAGATGAAATTAATTCCCCACTATCAAAGAGTCAGGCAGGGTTGATGAAAACTCAAATACCGAAAATTTTATTGGAATTATTCATTCCTAAGACTAATTTGAGATTAAAATTAGAAATTAAATGAAATGAAGTAAAAAGCATCTGACTTTGTTAGTTAAGTTTCAGTGAAAAAAGCCCTAGTACTAGATTAATAAGCCATTCTAGGTAGAAAGTCTGCGTATTGTCCAGGTTATATATTGTCTGTGCGGAAATAAACTTAATACTATTATATGAGGTTGTTTTCTTTCTTCTTTTTTTTGTTTTTGTTTTTGTTTTTGCATGGAACAGAAATCTAAGACAGTATACGTGGCAAATAAACTCATAGAAAGTCTGTGTATTGGGTAGAAACTTAGCAGTGCAAGCAAATAAGTTGTTTAGCTGACACTACAACTAGAAATATATTTCTCTAATGAAAGAAATAACTGTTCTGTGACATCACTTAATTAATTAACCCGATCAGAATTAATTCTTTATTTAACCTTCTTCTTTTGATAGCTAGAAAAGGTGGTCTACCCGACAAGGAACCCTAGTCGAAGAAGCAATCTTTTGCTCTCTGAAAAATCTTCCTCAAACCACTTATTTATGGCTTTCTTAAACAAGTGTTTATAATGTCATTGACCTTGTTTTTTTCCTGTAAATAATCCAAAATCTTGAGAACTTGCATATGGCAGAAACTTATGCCGACAAGAAAATGAGGTGAATATGGAAAAGAGACAGAAACAGAGTGATCTTGCTGTTGTTATCTTGACTTTATGTGGTGGTTGAAATGATGCTTTAGAACAAATTTAGGTTTGAAAGATCTAGGTTATGCAGTAAGAAAATGTCTTTGTCTGGGGTACAAACCAAGCCCTAGATCTTGAGTTTATTGATAGGACTGCCATCAAAACATCGTGCATGCAAACTTTTGATGCATGTGTGTATTCTGTGTACATATATATGTAAATTAAGTGTATCCTGATCATCAACAAGAAAAAAACCATTAAAATTGTTTCTGCATCTTTTATAATCTGATGTTTTGACTGCAAAAAATGATCTTCTACAGGAGGCAAATACAAACAGATAACGCCATTGATGCATTGTTGAGGTTAAAGAAAGAAAATTGTGCAACAGGTTCCAAAAGTGGTGGAAATTTAGAGCGTTTGCTGCACCAACTTCCCCTCTAACCAGCTCTTTCAATAGTCAAGTGTGTCACATCCATTCTGTCCCCATCATGTAGTAAGTTTTCTTAGAAGCTTACTTTTCTTTTTTTAAAAAATATTTTATTTACCTTTCTGTTTTTTTCGCTGCTTTGACAATTACAGTAATAAATATATAGTGATCGATCAAGTTTTATCATCAAATGTTTTGTTGTCGTAGATGATAGATTTTTTCTAGAGAAAATTGCAGCTTTATAGGATTTTGGTTTGGTCATAATGCAATTAAAATTTTATAATTTTATTAATAGCTCAATGCTTTGTGTTTCAATTTTTTTTTGTTATTTTACATAAATTCATTATTTTTTTTTAAAAATATATATTTTTTCTTAATTTAATTTATTAACTTAAAATTTTTTTATGTTCTTATATTTAAAAAGTTTAACATACCATATCTTTTGAAAAATTAATAGGTTTTTATATATAAAATGAAAAGTCAAATTATAGCATTGAATTATCATAAAGAAAATCACATAATTTAGATTATAACAAGACTAACTAGAAGGAAAAACTGTATTTTACCATTTTCTAATAATTAATACAGTTTAAGTACTACCCACTTATCTCGATAAACAGAGTTTGTTGTTAATTCGAATCATTTAACTAAATATTGTCTGTTAAAAGTAGTTTTTCTATATTTTTGTTTAATTCCTGATAAAATAGAAGTTATGACTTTTAGGTAAAGCTAACTTATTAAATATTCAAACTTTAATATAGATATCAATGATCTGTCTTATATTTCCGTAGTCTGTTAGACATAGATCAATTTTTAAATTATGGAACATATATAAGTATATCAACGACACCATAAATATGCATATAGAAAATACATTCATTAAGGTATGTATATAAAAGTGATGATAATGTCGATATGTATTTGGGTTGCCAAATTGGTAGTTTTATAATTTATGATAATCTACTAACACCAGTTTATGTATGTCGATATTTCAAGTTAGATATTTGTTTAGTCTAATAATTGATGCTTTTATAAAAATAAATATCATATTTTATTGTAAAAAGGTAAGAAAAAAAAATTTTGAAAAATCAAAATGAGGAGAACAGAGAACAGAAAGAGAGAAACAAAAAAAGAGTCGACGATTATGGAAAACTCTAATAGTGTTTCTTTTCTTTCACTATTCTTCTCAATACGTTTTACATATAAAAAGTTTATATATCAACGCAAAGGAGGCACACATACACCTATCATATACAACATTATTTCCTTTTAACTCTAAAAAATATATATACACACATATACATATACATCAAACGCGGACCCTTATGGGATTTCATTACTTGTTTAGCCCGCGGGTTCAAGTAATGCATATTTTGACAACCCCCTTGCAAAATGAAAAATAGATGTTTTGTACTATCATCTTAACCATGTGAGAGTTAAGGAGTTTACTCGAAAGTGATTTGGGAAAAATATTTGCTACCTACTATTTGTTGCTTACATGCTTGACAACAATACTTTCATTCTAAATCTATTTACGGATCAAATGATAATTTAGTTTTACATACTTCGTTCTTTCATAGAATATAGAGTTAGTTGCAAAGCATGTTGTCACAATGCATGATGGAAACCTATGAGTGCTCAATCTCTAAGGCACTTAAGAGATACCTTACAGTTAGCTCATAACAAACACTTGTAGAGGAGCAAGAGATAGAGTGCTACTTTTTTTATTTCCAAGAGATTAAGGAAACCTAAGAAACATAATATCTTATATTTGATTTTTGAATATTTTGGCAAGCTCCCCAATCAGTGTTACTTTAAGTATTAAGCTAAAATTTAGAAAAATTTATATAAAAAGACCCTGCCTTGAAGCATGCTTGATATATTTTAAGACTTTATAAGCAAC